GATTAGCCATCCATATCAGATATTATGTAATCAAAAAATCAATACTTTCAAACTTATGGACTCGTCATGTGCATTTCTCATCAGAATATGTTTGCTTTGAGTGTTTTTATGCGCTTAAAAAAAACCTACGGTTAAAAGGAAAAAGTTTTTATATGACGGGAATGCAAATAAACGCATTTGTAGTTACTTTGTAAGGAAAACTAAATAAAATTTTATACAGCTCAGGAAAATTATTATATTACTAAAGAAGTAGACATTTAGAAAAATGCAACTTAGTTAAATGTAGCAAACACGTAAATTATTGTTAATGCTGCTAAAATTCTAAAATTAATTACATTATTATAACAATTATTTACCTTATTTCTAATTGTAAATACAAAAGTACATATTTTGCAAAGTGTTCGGCGAGCTAATTGCGTTTATAGCGGCTCGCGCGGCTCTTTCTTCCTCTGACTCTGCCTAAATCCCACGATTTTGTTAGCAAATGGCTTTTCGGACTACTAATGTTGAACAAAATTTCTCGTAACTTAAATTGCACCAGTTATTTCAGATTTCTCCCAAAAGTAATAAATGGCGGCGTTGCGGGTATTGTTGGCGTTACTTGCGTCTTTCCTATTGATTTGGTCAAAACCAGACTGCAAAACCAGCAAGAAGGTTCTAAATTATATAAAAACATGTAATTATTTTCTTATAACAAATTTATTGTTTGAATCTTGAATATAATTATTTTGTATTTACTCAGGTACGATTGCGCTATAAAGACATACAGGGCAGAGGGGTTTCTTGGCATGTACAGAGGTATTATTTATAAATTTTAGCATAAAATAGTTATGCATATTTTATGCTCTTAATTTTATCAAACACCTTTTTTATGTGACCTGTCTGGCATTTTCGTTTACATTTGTTTTATCGGCCCTTGTTTACTGAATTATATACACTGTATCTCCTTTATGCAAATGCGCAATAGATTTCCACATTTATATTACTAAATTAATCTTCATCGACAAGTTATCTTCTTAAGTCTGAATTAAATTTTGTGAAGTATATATTCACTTTTTTGGAATACTCTTTTATCCTCAGATGTGGCCCTCAACTAGTTAATACATTTATAAACGAGTACCTGTGTGCATACTGCACCTTTATTGTATGATATATTGTTCTTTTAATCTATTTTCAACTATTAAAATACTCTTTGACTTGATTTTCATATACATTTTTAAATAGTTAATGTTTACTTATGATACCTACCGCTCTCGAATGAACTTTTATTTTTCGAGACTACTTTTCTGTCTGTGGTTTAAAATTATAAATATAATTTAGCAAACAGTTTAACATATCCTTTTAACTGACCACTACTTGATGAGCATCTCTCAAACGATAGTTATTTACGCATTCTTACGATTTAGTTTTTTATATTTTATTAAGTAACTAGCATCGCATTTTATCCTCTATTTTAGGCAGTGCTGTGAACCTTTTGCTGATAACCCCTGAGAAAGCTATTAAACTTGTAGGAAACGATTTTTTTCGGCATCATTTAAAGCCTGAGGGGTAAAGTCATGTCTTTTCTAAATGTCTTCCTGTTTATTATTGCTTATATATACTCAAATCAATCAATTAAAATATAACAATATCCTATGCCATTTAAGTAAACTAATGTTTATTCAAGTTTCCGTTCTCTGAATTAAAACTTTTATTCCTATTTTTCTAGGAATTTCATTAAATTATGTAAGGTTTTAATATAATTAGCGTAATATCTTGTATTCAAACGTTTTCGCCTCATTTAGCAAACCACTTACACCTCTTCGAGAAATGTTAGCAGGTGCTGGAGCCGGTACCTGTCAAATAGTCGTAACAACTCCCATGGAGCTTCTGAAGATCCAACTTCAGGACGCTGGCCGGACTCAGAAAAGTAAGATACTCCATGTCAGATCGTCTAGAACTAGCTTATGGCTTTCATGATTGTTAGTGTATATTATAGCTTCTCTAAGGTAGTCGCTTAGTACACTTTTATTGAAGCTGCATTTAAATTACTAAATTCTCCCTGATTAAGAAGAGCATATGTTCTAGGCATTTAAAAGTCACCCCGATTCGGTTTTATTAAATTCCCTTGATTATTTTGCTCCCCTAAGATCCCGCCTCGGCGATTTCAGACCGGCCGCAGCGTCTATCAGCCACACGCATTGCTCTACAACTGCTTCGGGACAAGGGGATCTTTGGTCTTTACCGTGGAATGGCAGCTACTTTTCTCAGGGATGTTACCTTCTCCGCCATGTACTTCCCTCTTTTTGCTAACATCAACTCTTTGGTAAATTATCAGCTTATTTGTGTCCTTAAATAAAAATTCTATATAGATAGAAAAAAACAAATACCGGCAAATATCCTTTTTTCGTAGTTGCCTTTAAATATAGAAAAAATAATTCGTTTGAACGGAAGTGATCTGAGCTCATTTTCGAAATTTGGTCGTGTTGTCGGGGCGATTACAACTAAACTAGAGGTTACAACATCTTGGTCTTTATAAAATTGTTCGTATATGTTTGCTGAGCAATGCAATTCGAAATATGTGAATCCTTCCTTTTTCAAAAATTAGCAACGAAGGGACTTATTTTTTATTTTGCTTTCGTTCCATTTTATACCTAATAGGTCGCCAAAAACGCAGCCATGTCTTAAGTAAGAAAATCCTTTATTCCATTGACATGGAGATGGTTCTCGGTGGATGTTTAAGCTTGTTTATTTGTTTGTGGGCTCTTAATTAGAGTCTATCTTTTATTCCTTGCTATCGTTCTCACAACTTTTTTAATTGTAATACCCGCCTTACTTTTGTCTTGATTTCATCGACAATTATTTTAACGAGTAAGCTGAGCCTAACTACAAAGAATTTGGTCTTTATTTTTTAAGAGACGATGATTAAGAAATGAGGATATTTCTTTAATAATGGTAAAAAGATTAGAAATCTTATTCTCTTGTTTCTATTCTTCACCACGCTAAAGCCAATGAAGGACGTAGATATTGCTGACTCTAGAATAAGGAGGTTTGCCTTCCTGTATCTACCATTTAATTTCTCTTGATTTACATAAGTTTGTATGTAGGCTTTGTATTCAAAAGTGATCTAACCTCAATTTAGCAGCTTGATCGTGTTGCCAG